AACCTTGTGCTATACACCCTTCTGGTCGAGCTCTATTACGCACATATGATTTAAGTTGTCCCAAATATCTCTCAATAGGATACATCCACCTATATTGAACAGGTCCTCCTAGTTTGGCTTCCTCAACAAGATGAACGATCAAATGAACCATGACTGTGAAGAATGACGGAGGAAATAACATTTCCATGTGACATAGCGTGAGCACAACTTCACGTTGCAATTTATCCAAATTTGCAACATTCAACACATTATCGCTCAACTGTTTGAAAAATGAACACAACTCAATTAAAATTCTTGAAACATTATCTGACAATGTTATTCGTGTGGCCAATGGGAGTAATTTCTCAATCAATATATGACAATCATGACTTTTCAACATTCCATTCAATCGCATAGAATCAACATCAATGCACCTAGAGATGTTGCTTGCATAACCATCTGGTACACTGATATTCCTCAATGTTGATAGAAACATCTTCTTGCCTTGATTATTCATTGTATAGATTGCTAGAGGATATTTTCCATTGTCATCTGGCCAAAGATCATGCTTACAACCCATTACTTTAAGATCTCTTCGAGCATTCAGATGATCTTTTGACTTAGAGGAATCATTAAGCAACGTGAAAATGATATTGTCACAAACATTCTTCTCAATGTGCATCACATCAAGATTGTGACGCAATAGATTATGCCTCCAATATGGAAGTTCAAAAAAAATGCTCTTCTTTTTCCATTGCTGGGTGTTGCCATTTGTGTGACGGTCACTAACACGTCTTCTTTTTCCTCTTCCAATAACATTAGTTTTGCGGCCGAATGTGACATTAATATTCTGCACTTGTTCAAGTATTGCACAACCAGACAACAAATTTGGAGGATTACGCAGATCTTGCTTTCCATTAAATCGAACCTTGTTCAACCTAAATCTATGTCTTTGATCAAGAAAGCGTCGATGACCCATAAAACACCATTTCTTACTATGATTAAGACGACAAGGTTCAAAATCAAAGTTGCATGACGGACAAGCTAGGCCGGTGTATGTGTTCCAGCCAGATAGATTTCCCAACCCGGGAAAATCACTTATCGTCCACATTAGTGCTGCATATAGTTTGAACTTTTCCTGTGTGAAAGCGTCATAAGCATCTACACCATCTTGCCACAATTCTTTCAACTCTTTTATCAAAGGTTGTAGAAACACATCGATGTCATTCCCTGGCATTCTTTTACCAGGGATGATGGTTGAAATGATAAAAGACGTCGACTTCATACATAACCATGGAGGGGTGTTGTAAGGAATCAAAATGACTGGCCAAATACTGTAATTGGAACTCATATTACCAAAAGGATTAAAATCATCAGTGGCTAAACCGAGTCGAACACTTCGTGGGTCAGAAGAGAATGATGTGTGCAACTCATCAAACTTCTTCCATGCTTCAGAGTCTCTAGGATGTCTCATCAAGCCATCATTTGCACCATTCGGGATCGCATGCCATCTCATATCTTCAGCTGTCTTTGTTGATAAAAATAACCTCTGCAAACGAGGTTTGAGTGGGAAGTAGCGAACGATTTTTGCAGCCACGTTACGCTTCTTTTGTCCTTGTTGAGAAGATGTACCATCACTTACTTCTTTAACGGGCGGTTTCCATCTAGAGGTATGGCAAACCTTGCAACTTTGTCTACTTTCATCTTCCTCTCCCCAATACAACATACAATTTTTTGGACAAGCATGTATGTTCTTGTAGTCCAGTCCCAACTTTGTAATAATTTTCTTCGCCTCATAGAATGAAGCTGGAATATTTGCATGTTCAAAAGCATCTTTCAGTAACTCTAATATCATAGTCATGGATTTGTCAGTCATCCCACATAAACACTTTATATGATACAACTTCACAATGAATGACAACTTTGAATATTTAACACACCCTTCATACAATGGTAGTTCTCCATCTCTTGCTACCTCATAAAATTCTTTATCTGCACTTACTTCTTCAGTTGCAGCATTCTGTGTCGTTCCCTCGTCCTCTGCATTATTTTCGTTTGATTGAAATTGACCTTCATTGTCGTGTTGCCTATTTATGCCAAAAGCATCATTGATCATGTTAAACATTGGATCTGCATCAACATTCTGGTCCTGAACACCATAAGAATGTGCTCCACCACCAACATTACTAGTTGACGCAACCTTCGACTCTCCATGGTAGAACCAAAAGGTGTATCCTTCGGGGAATTTCTTACACAACAAATGATCATAGACTGTTTCCTTAGACAGCCACTTTCTAAAACCACACGGTGAGCATGGGCATAATATTTTGCCTTCAATTGAACTATGTTGAAAGGAAAAATCAATAAATCCCCTAACTCCTTCGACATACTCAATTGAATTTCTTGGTTTTTTCATCCAAGACTTATCCATTGTTGCTGATCTGTAAATAAATCATATAATATTTTGGTCAAACTAATTAGTTTCCTTATTTTCATTTAGGGTAAGTTGTATATATTGTAAATGTAACCTCTCCTATTAGGAAAATTAAGTCATGTTGTCGGTTTTATTTTATTATAATAAAGCTAAAAGATCTCTTTCTCTTACTTACTCACACTGCCTACCACATTCTCACTCTTTTCATTAATGACAATAATAAAGGATAACCCAAAACGGGAAAAGTAAAAACTGAAAACTGAGATGAGAATCCCTAATAAGGAAAATGCAGATTACGGGTAAAGAGAAAAGTAGACAAGGAAAAGCATCTAGCTTTAAGTCATTTTCCCCAGAAATAGACACCCACTTAAGCATTTTTGGCAAAAGTAAGTTTATATACTTTTTCTAATGAATTTATATCATACTTCTCTAGCATATACTTATTTTTATATCAATATAATTTATGTGGAGCAACTCAATTCCAACTACGGCAAAAAATTATATGGTTGTCATGCTGGCTAACATAACATGACAGTGTTTTTAGGGCACTTTGTTAAGTATAATCTAATTTGTTAGATATGGGGCTAGTGGAATCCCTTTGAATTATGTGTTTACGTGTATAAATACACACATACAAAAATCCTTCATCCTAACATATAAGGAATGGAAGCAAAATGCAAAACAAAGACGTGAATGAAAATGGGGAAGAGATGTGAATAAATGCAGCGGTTCCGAGATCAAATGTCGGAAAGAGAAAAAAGAGGCAAGTGGAATATGAACTGACCTGAGCCTTGTCAACGACCTAAATGTCAGACAGGAAGTGGTGATAGTCGGCGGCGGCGTTGCCGGCGGTGGTGACGACGACTGCTCTGCTAGGGCAAACAGCAAAAGGGAAAATAATATATCTATTAACTAAACAATATATTGATAACTTTCACAGCAATGACAGACGAATGGGAACTCACTGTCGAATCGGCGGAGGAACAAACGAAATGTTGACGACCACGCTAGAGATACAGACGAAATGTTCACAGTCAGAATAAGTGAGAGGTTCGTTTTGCTTTTGACAGAGAGGGGAGACAAAGAGGGGGAAATGACACGGACGAAATGTTAAGAGGGGGAAATTCTATAAAATTTTGGGAGAAAACATTAACGATAACAAGTAAAACAATAAGGTATGACATTTTGTTAAATTGTTACGGTTGGTCAAATTGGTTTAGAGAAATCAAAGTAATGTAGAGGGATGAGTTCGAATCCTGCCTCCAGATTTTAATAATTAATTTTTTTTTAATTTAAACTATTACTAAGATCTTGTGGGCGTTTTAATAACCGCCCATTACATATATATGGAGGCTCAATGCATCAAACCGCCTGGGATTGAAAACGTTTAGAGGCTACTTATAATTAAACACCTTAATAATCGCCCCCATATATATTTCATGGGCGGTTTAACAAACCGCGTGTGCAATCCAATTTTAGGCGGTATGTATTTTTTCGCCTCCAAATAAAAAATTATTTAGGCAGACTATTTAAACGCCTGCCCTTCCGCCTGTAATGGATGAAATATGAGGCGGTTTTTGTGAATAGGCTGCAAAATGTTATTTCTATGCGGTTATAATAACAGCCTTGAAGTATTATTTTCAGGCGGTTGGAGTTTGACCGCCTTGCTTTAAGTAAGACGCCTACAGTACCGCCTCTGTCTCTTCTTTGCACGCGGTTTTCATTTAACCGCCTCTGTGTAACGGTCGGCATTTGTGCGTTTTCTTGTAGTGAATTGTGTACGATTGTCTAATGTTTAACACGAGGTTAAACATTAATTATTTGACGTTATGATATTTAATATAAGGGAAAAGTATTTTTACTGTCACCGGAGATAAAGTTATCTTCAGTGAGCTCAAAACGACGTCGTTTTGGGTTATAAGATTAAAAAATTATAATGACAAAGACTAATATAACCCTGCAATATATTATAATTACAAAAACAATACTGCTTTCTCCCCCACAACGACGTCGTTTTGAGCTCACTGGAGATAACTTTATCTCCGGTGGCAGGAGAAAATCTAAATTTTTTGTGTTTGTTTTTCTTCTTCGTCTTATGTAGTTAATCTTCTGCAATAATTAATATACAATAATTCGCTTATTACTTGAAATTTGGAAATATTTATTCCTTTGTTTGATTACGAAAAAAAGTTTAATAAAATATATGTATGATAAACCATCTTCAACTAAAAAAAATGAAGAGACACATTCTTCATTGTAAAACTATGTATGTCATTAAATTTTTTATTATTCATGTGTCTACACTTCAATCGACTCTTTTTAATTTTTATGTATCGAGAAGTTTATTTTTTTTTTAAACTACGTGTTAGTCTCTTAATCCTGATTATTTTTTGAAACATTCTGATATTCCTTCTTCTTTTTTCTGAACTTTCATTCAATGACTGATACTTCATCTTCTGCAAATTAAAGTGAGTAGCGATTGAGAAATAGATACAGATGCCCCTAAAATCTCTTTCAAAGGATTTATTTTTGCAGATTTTTGGAATCACTAATGTAATATTCTTAGATTCTATTATAGACACCATTCAATATTAAGTTGGAAATCCCTTATCTATTTTATCTTTTAATATTTTCTTTAATAATTGTGTCTTAGAAAATTTTATTCATAAATTTTATTTAAAATTTACGTTAACTCTTAGAAGACAAACAAACTGACTTTTTTTTTCGTGTATCGCACGAGTAATAAACTAGTTAACTGGTTCTAATAAATAGTGGGCCAAACAATGTTCGTGAATAATGAGACAAAAAAATTATTGAGCAATATTTTTTCGTAAACGGTTTCTAATAATGCAATTAATATATTATTAATTGGTAATTGATTCTAATAAATAGTATTCCAAATGGGTTCTTTTGGCAACATTTATTTCCTCAAAATACAATCACCGTGTACATGGTTTTTGGGCGAAATTATTGAATCTCAATTGCTTTTTCATATTTGTCATTGAATATTTATAATTGATAACTTCTAAACGGTTTTTTATTTGTATGAATAGATAATAACGCTTTAAGGATTGTGAGGGAATAGATAATAAGGAATTTTTTATTTATATGTCTACATTGTTAATGACATCATGATCTCTTTGAGTATCTATAGCAATTGTATGATAATATCCCTTGTCACTTCTGCTGCATGAATCATGACATTGTTCTCATCGAAGAGTGGTGATTTTTCAGTGAAGTCGTCCTCACAAGACAAGGCCTCAACAACAGAATGACTTACCTCAAATGCAGCCACCTCGGGTTTTCCAGATTGCAAAGCTTGAGTGGCTAGTGGAACATCACCTTCCAAAATTGCTTTGTACTTGTTAGCACATGAACTCAACAAGCCTTTCTCATCGGCACCCCCTTTAAGAAGTTCATTGATTTTGTTCATGGTATCATTTGCTTTGGCTTTGATTACATTCACCAATATTAGTGCTAGGTCGTTGACATCTGCACTTGAGCTATGAGGGTCTGCTTCAAGGAGTTTAATGCAAAGATCAGGATGTGATGTATTCTTGCATGTTTCCTCTATGAGTTTCACATCGTTTGGCTGAAAAACTCTGCAGTGACCTTGTGGCATTGAAATTGTAGCTAGAACAAGAATGCTACATATAAGAGATAGGTGCTTCAAGTTTGCCATCTTTGTTAGAATAAGACAAATAATTGAAGCCTAGAAAATTCAAGTGAGTGGATGAACTGAAAAAAGTGAAAAGAGAGAACTAAAAAGTTCTAAGAAACTGAGATTAATCAGAGTGAAGATGTGTGAACTACTTCTTCTTTCAGCATTTAAATAGGGAATTGTCTCCAAATTCGGTCAAATCACAAGACAATCTGGGTAATTAATCATATTATTAATTTATTAATACAATAATACTTTATTTGGTAAGTAATCAATATTTTTGTAGGATGAAACAATATCTTTATTGCTTTCCGAAGTAATTAAATACACTATTAAATATTACTTACTCTGTAAGACTTCTTGAAGTAATTAAAGATATTATTAATTAATTGCATTTAAAATTGCCTTAAAAAATAATTTATTACGCTATTAATGAGTACAGGGAATAGGCTATTAATTTTATACAAATAGTTTTTAGTCAAACTACATTAATATAAGTAATATTATTTTTAATTATTCAAAAAATAATATTATTTTGAGAAGTAATTAATAACATCATTAAATATTGGAAAAAAAAATATTCTCATGTTACATGAGATAAGTTTTCTTTCCTACACACCCTTCGATAATCATGCAATTTTCTCTTTTCTTTCTTTGTTTATTTTTTATATGGTGGGTCCCACCACTATGTATCTATGACATAAGATTTTTTCTCTCATACAATATGAGATTAGATAAGCCCTTAAATATTATATATTAAGCACTAAACTTTGTTTGGGCTTCTATTTCAATGAGTGGTCTCCTACTAATTTGGCAATTAAATATTATATATTAAAATTTAGTGTCAAATGACATTTTTTTAAAGTTACAGCAAAAAAAATGAAACAAGGGGAGATTCCGTTTACAATTTTTTTTTTCTTTACAATTCTTACAACCTCAACCTATGTAGCACTGATATCGACACGGGACACGTGACACGACACGACACGATACTCCGACACGTTAATTCTAAAAAATGTTATATTTCGACACGTTAGGACACATTTTGATATTAAATAATATTTTTAATTTATGTAGTGTATATTGTATTTAATATTCAATAATTTAACAAAAAATGAAGTTAAACTTATAATACCCATCAATTTTGCAAAGAAACATAAGATATCCCAAATATTTATATTAAACTCAATAAAATAGTAATCTCAGTCTAACGAATTTAATAGTTGAAACTAAAAACGTAACGCAACGCAACCTTTGAACCATTTTTTGAGTTTTTACAACGCGTGTTGGAGTGTCGGAGAGTGTCGAAGAGTGTCGGGAAGTGTCGGACACGACA